TATAAAATTTAAATTTTTTTATTACACATTAGAATGGATGCGTTATCGCATGATATTGAGTTCGAAAATTGAAAAATCAAAAAATCAGTTCAAATCTGAATATGTTGAACGTTTGGGACAAATCCACTCAAAGGAGGATATGAAGCCAGTTACCAGAAAGTTAAACCGATTTCTTGAGAATTTTAGGCATGAGAAAGTGTTCGAGTAAATTTGTGTCAAAATAGTTACTAACTACTCCGTCAAGACGTTCACAAACAATCACTGCCTCAGGTAAAATAAATTTCGATATCGACACCTATACTGAAGTTTTCGACACCCAGAAGTCGATAGAGATGGAGACAGATGCATCGAAAAATGTTCAAGGAGTTTGTTCACTACAGGATGACTATACAGTCGTTTTTACATCCAGAAGTCTCACTCCCACCGAACATGATCTCGAGCAGATTGAAAAAGAAATGCTGGCCACCGTATTCACGATCCAAAAATTTCATTATTTCATTTATGGATTAAAAATTGAAGTTGATTCTGATCACAAAACTTTATGTACAATGATGAAAAGAGTGGGCTACTGTTTTCTTCCGATTACAATAACTGCGATTGAAATTGCTCTAATACGACTTAGTAGTTCAGTATAAGCCGGGAGAAACCTTTATGGTAACTTATAGCAAAAAATTGAAGATGCTAACGTATAGCAAAAACGTGTCGGGGTTTTGTGAACTTCCAAGTGTGTTTTTTGAATACCTGAGTGGAAAAATAAAACTATTGGAACTTTTGAAAGTTGTCACCACTTCATATCTCTAACGGACTTGTCTCAAATTGAGTCAATAAGCCGGGAAGATAAGGTATGATGTTAGTTGTCAGATACGTATGTTGTTGTATTGCTGATGATTTTTAGTATGTGGGTTGAAACTAACGAATTTCTTAGACGAATTGGTCATAGATTTGATTTCAGTGTCAGACTGGCCATATAACTGGAGTTGCATTCGCTATTCTGGTTTGTAGACCTAAAACGGATTAGACCCTCGTTCCTATCTATCCCTGAGGACGACTTCATCTCGAGCTTGTGGAGAGTCACCTGACACCTTTATCATTCCGACCCAGTTCGACCCTGTACAAAGAGCAACTTTCAGAAGTACCAATATAATGAGAACTCTTCTGACGCGAAAAAAACCTGAGAATACTGTTGAACAAATTAAAATAGCTTTATTTATAGTATATCTTGTTTGTTTGTAACAATCAAAAAATCAAAAAATTGAACTATTAACACGAGATGAAAATTAAAAATCATTACCAAGAAATTAAAAATTGAAATATTTCAAGAGAAGTTACTTCACGACGTTTCGATTGTTAGTATCCACAATCGTCTTCGGGTGATAACTGAGATCTGACTATTTATAGGTCATTCGAGTGCTTCCAGCTATCTCCTCTTCCCTCTCTCCGCTTCATCGGTTTTAGCGGGACTTGACCGTTTGACAGAAGTTGGTCGTGTTCCGCTTGATTATAGGTTTCCATATGTTGCGTATCTCTACGCTAGCTCAGCTGAATGCATTGTTGGACAACATATATGTGGCTTCTTTGAATTTTCCCCTAAAGCAGTGTTCCTCCTTGTGGATGATTTCAGCTTGAGACCATTTGATGTTGAGTTGATTGATTGATTGATTGATAGCACTTTATTTACAACAGGCATCCACCCAATTACAGGAAATGTACAAAGGTGTTTATAAAAATATATGCAAAACAGTATAATTAGTTGAAAAAAAAAAACATTGCTACAACTAAAAGAAAAATAAATAGAAATATATCACAAGAAGCGAAAGGAAAAAGTGATCACATTTAAAATAAAACTTTGAGAACTGTGATTGATATCGCACATATCACATACTTAATTATAGTTGTTACAAAGTATTGACACTGGTGCTTTCAAACTGTTATTTGTTCTGACAAAATCACAGTAAAATGTCATTCGATATCTGGAATTAAGGCGTGGGGTGCGGAAGTTGATCATTTGTAAAAGAGAGGCACACGAGGTCTTATTGTTTAGCATTTTGTGAAGAAAGGAGATTGTGACAAAAAATCGCCGTGTATTCAGAGACATGATGAGTCCAAACATGCTCTGCTATTCCTGATTTTCTGATTTATCCTCGCTGTGTGTGTTTCTTGTGCTCGGCAATGCTAACTTTCAATGGTNCCAAGCATGCTCTGTTATTCCTGATTTTCTGATTTATCCTCGCTGTGTGTGTTTCTTGTGCTCGGCAATGCTAACTTTCAATGGTCTCTCAGTTTCACCGATGTATGCTTCTCCGCACTCGCAGAGTATCCGGCAAATGCAATTCTTGGAATCGCAGTACGCGTTTGGTGGCCTGGTTTTCGTGAGGTTGCTGGGAACACTATCCGTAGCAGCCTCACGAAATGTAAGGCTAAATGTGGGGAAAAACTAACGTCATGAATATACAATGAGAAAACATGATTGTGTTGTGGATAGCGGAGCATATTATAAAATTGAGTGGTTATCATGCAATGAAATGAAGTGAAACAAAAATGGCCACCAAAGAATATTATGAAGGAATGATCACACTCAAAGAAACTCTATATTCTTTTATAGTACTTTAACCAAATTTGTGAAAATGAATCGTACCTGGTTACCATTACTGAGGCGACAGGTTGAGAACGGAAAGGGGCATTGAAAGTGAATTTTCTGAATTTTATTACGAAAGGGGTTTACTCTCTAATAAAACTCATTATCAAATCTAGCAGATTCGACGAACTCGGTGAAGCGGCCGAAGCTGCTTGCAAAGAAGAAAGAAAAATGTTTAAGAATTTTCAGATTCAACTCCTGAAAATAAGGGAATAAAAAGATGCTTTGAGTGTGAGGAAAGTTATTTACCGGTGATAACTGAAACTGTTATCTGGGATAGATTATCAGAATACCAATAAGCATTACAATGTAAAATGAAGATGCATTCGCAGAGATACTAGAAATTGAACGCTAATTACTCAAACTAATATTTGAATACCAGGCCTTTTGTCTTTAGAAGTTATTCAAACTCCACTCTTGTTGAATTAATCCTACTTTCATCCTCAGATATGATATATAATTTTTTGAAATTCAGTTCGAGATTTGTGTTGTTCGAGTAAGTAAAATAGCCAGATCCATACTTCTCGAGAATTTCAGAGAGAAATAATATTTTTCCTTCCGTCATGAGCCGCTAAACCCCACCAAGTGTATTAAAAATTTTGTAAATTCTGCCACAGTTATTAGGTTGTTATACTCAGTCACTTCATTAATTTTATTCGAGTATTTTGGCAGATTCGCACCATCTGTCATCAAACATATAATTAACTTAATATTAGCCTAAGAATTAGTTATTCGACTTCTCATATGGGTAAAACAAAATTCTGCACACTTATTGATTAACACATTTGGGTATGATATAGATTCTGGGGATTCATGAACTTACCTTAAAAATGAAGGTATCTTTTCCTAGTAGTTCCTGAACCTCAAAGTAACTCTGCCAAGCTGGATCTGCAGCTATCACACAACGATCTAAGTACAATGGATCTCTCAATAAAGAGTACCGCCCATTTTTATCACGTACTAACAAAAGGGCAGCTTCTCTGACCCCTTGTTTGGCAAACACAAGAGTACCTTCTTCGGTTCTTTCATTTGTTTTATTTGAGGTCGGCTGAAAAAAAAAATTTATTACATGTAACAAATATCATTATTTCCAGATGCCTGACGGTTTTACTTTAGCTTTCTGCGCGGTATTAGCTGGGTTAGTTGTTGTTTTTTCGTCGGATATCTGCCACACGTATCTACAAAGTCGTAGATTCACATGAGAGGCAAGAGGTAACGTGTTTTTCATCTGAGTTTCTGGTTGTGGAAGAGTACACGCGTATTATCAATATGCTATTCGGAATAACGATCCATCTCAACTGTTCCGTTTCACAGTTATATATTCCCCGACAACAGACAGGGTAGGTCTTGAACTTTTGAGTTTGAAGCATAACATTATGCTTTTGGAAGAATCCTCTGGAGACTGGGGTCATTCTGGCTCTCATGGTGGTTGCGGAAGTAAATTAGTGATGAAAAATTTGATTTATCGTATAAAAATGAGATGATGTCAGACTCTACAAGATAGCCTGTGTTGATTAGTTTCTGTAAATTGATTTATCTCTCCTGATTTGAAGCTAATACGAAATTCCTGGCCAAATTCAGAATGTTATTCAGAAAATTCACCAAAATAAAAAATACCGTCAAGAGCGGATGCTTAAATTTATTTCTGTGACTGACAATTGCTTCCATTCATTGGACTGTCAGGGCCACAATGAAAAAAATTTTCACAATTTCCGCAAACATTTTGATTTCTAAACGCGTTTCGCTAACACAGTAGCTTTCTCGGTAGGATCATCAAATTAGCTAAACTCTTCGAATGATGTAAACATCACCAATGAAAAAATCTGCTACAGAAGATACAGATCTGTATCTAGATTTTCAAATTGCCTGGCTGCACCCTGTATGAAAATTCAATGATTATATTTCGAAAATCCAGCGATATTCGCTATGTCAAAATGTAAACAGAATATATCCGTATCCAAAAATAGCTAGAGTCGAAAGAAAGAATATAAGAATCATCAGGATGAAGATTGTCATTACAACAATTATTTATTCAATGACAACTGTTGTATGTATGACATACAAAAGCGAAATGAAAATTCTGTCTTGAAACTTGTTTTTTGGGAATTTAGACAAGTTACTTTGAAGTGAAAGTTGCAGTAAGATGTCGATGCTTGGCTTTGCAAATGAACATTTTGAGAGTCTCGAGGATATTCGTGAAATGAGTTTTCTGTCGTTCCTATTCGAGGCGTCTCCGTAAGGGTAGATATCATCGCGTCCATTTACTCAGGTTTGTCCAGCAATACATTCTTTGTTTGCTTTGTTTTTGGGCTCTAGTTTGAACAAGTTGTATTGTCACGAAAGTTGTATTGGAATATACAAGACAAATCTCGTTTGGCAATCGATTTTAAACTTGACTCTGCAACATACCGCCTCTATTTACTCAGGTTTGTCTTTTACAGACAATTGAGTCCAGCAACGCACCGATGACAATGTTAATCATGTTAATATTGCTGCCCTTTTTGAAAACGAATAAGCTGGTCAATTTGCTCCAAAATTAATTTTGAAAATAAACAATTAGATGCTTCGAAAGACAATGTGCCGATGTTTCAATAATTCTTCTGATAATTTTTCAGCTGCTGAATAAAGTATCATTGTGTCTTTTAGTTTTGATGCATTTCGTAACGATGGTCTAATATATTGAATACATCTTTTTACAAATTTCAAATACAAAGTATATATTTCAAATTGATGTACTTTTTGGTAACACTTTATTATTAGTGAAGTATTCAGAAAATGTTTTCGTTAATCACAGAATTGTGTTGAATACCTTCGCAACATATATGAAGTCGAGTATAATTTGAATTTAAATTCATAATAATTTTTTTAATTCTTTTCAATTTTCCAATTGTTATGACTGGTTCATTCAAGAAAAAGTGAATCAGAATACTGAAAAAATGTATAGAACTTTTGGCATAACACATAATATAGGACTCTGCATAGAAAATTAACCAACCTTTCCATTTATCACTAACAAAGCATTGACTGGCATTAGCTTGATGGTTCTTCCCTTTCTCCAATTATTGTCAGTGGGCTGCGTAAATAACAACTTCCCTTCCAAAGCAAATTTAGCTTCTTCGTGGTTCCACTCCAAAACATCAACAGCAATTTTTCTCAACTTGATGTTCACAAGATCCATCTCAGCACTCGATCTCCTTCCTGAACTACTGCCAATACGACGCCAAAGCTTGCTAGGTACGTCCTTGGTCTCTGAGTTCATGTGGTTTAGGTGCAGTTCTATTTTGTGCTGAAAACAATTCGTAAATAAAAAAAACTCAGTACTAGGTCTATTAAAAACACTTTCCCAACCCCTGAACAAAAATTACGGTCCCTCGACTGAGTCATAATGATCTCCAGAGAACGCTAACTTGGTTAGCGAAACGCGCGTCGAGAGACCGTAATTTTTGTTCTGGTGATGGGACAGTGTTTTCAATAGATGATATTTGGCATCATTAGATGATGAAGGGACGTTCTCAATACGCATTTTCTAATGAACTCTTGAGCAGTTGGTATCACTGTTAACCCATAGGTTGGCAAGGTTTCTTTTGAGATACTATATATCAAGCATTCATATATTAATTTTCCCATTGATGTGGCCTATACCTTTTTATCACTGTAAATGAGAAGATACATTGGGTAGTAGGAGGTCACCATATTGTTTTCATGTCTTGGCAAGTTTGTTCAGTGGTGAGTGGAATACGGCTGCCAACGATAGATTTCCTGCATGTGAATCGGTAAGTTTACTGTTTCACCGTGTACTTTCATTATATTTCACAATAATTATATGTATTTCGAAAATGTATGGTATGTTTCTATATTGTGGCTGCAAAGTTACATCAATAGAACAGATTTTTCTGTTTGGGAGTAAATAATTCAGATAATATGAAGAATAACCAGTAGTCCAAAAACCAGATGAATTCAGAATTGTAGGTTACGATTCGACTCTTCATATTTCAGTTGAAAAGTAAATAAACAAAAACTAGTCACAGAAATTCCTTCAATCAACGTATTATCTCCGTTATTATAATTATTTAACTGAAACACTTCTATTTCTATAAACATTTATGTTATTTTCCATGTTCATTAGGGAAAATGGAACCCTCTACCAAAAATAATGATGGAGCTGCAAAAAACAGTGATACGAATGAAAGTTTTTCAAGTAAATTTAACATACTAAGATTAATTTTTTTCAACATCATTTATATTTCCTAAGGAAGAGCTATTTCAAAAAGCCTATGATTGAAATGAAATACTCAAAAGGTGTGATTGAACTAACTTCATTGAAAAATAGTAATTTTCATTAATGCACTTCAACAATGATTGTGTGTGACAAAATCTCAAAACTAAGATGACTGATCTGTCACTCGGTACTCGTACCTAAAAAAAAATGTACCAAAAAATCATGATGAAACGTGTGTAACATTCTTGAGTTGTTTTAAAATTTGCAATACATTGTATTCAAACTATTATTACTATCAGTACAAAAGATAGTGATATGTTGTTAGATATTATTTGAGTAATTATTTTATTCAGTATATTTCCATTGAACATTGAAAACTGATGTAGCTACACCAGGGGTCGTGAGTCAATTCTTCAGAAACAAAAAATCATTAGTAAAGTAAGTGGAAATAGAACGATTCCAAATATAGTGAACAATTTCAAGCTTTGACCTCTAGAACTCGATGATCGACTTTTAGGACACGGTAAAACAGATGATGATGTGGATGATGATGTGGATGATGATGATGTGGATTTCTTAGATACTAATCCTGACTGTGTCAGTCTTTTGTAGAGAGCAAATAATTGGCAGTACATGTATCTACATGTTGTATGAAAGTTACAAAATCAGAAAACTGGTTATGATATAATTTTTCAGTTAGAGAAAATGGAATCCGGGCTGGTTGACTGAGGTCGAATATGACTTGTAGTGCCAAATGTTTCTTCTGCATCTGCGGCAGATATTATCAGTGGAATATGAGGTAACTGTGGGGATGGAGGTATAAATCGAAGTTTCAAACATTGCTTAGTCAGTCAGTTGAAACATATACCACTGATGATGTCTATCGCAGTAGAAAAGGAAACATTCCCATTCGACCACGATCTCCAGCCGTGAAAGCATATGTTCCCATAATGTTTCAGTATTTTCAATAACGACAATATTGATACTCACCTGAGCCTCTTTCAACTCCTCCTTATTATCCAAATGCGAAGGAGTCACCTTATATAGCCGAGCGAGCAACAGAGGGTATTTGGTAACCCGCTGAACAGGAACCATAAGAAACGAATTGAGATTCATCCTTCTCAGCATGGCATTTTCCATTTGGGAGACCCTCAGAAATATTCTCAGAAGTTCTTTCTCTTTCTCCAAACTGGCCAGAAGAAGACTTGCCGCTCCCTGACGTATACAATACGTTTCGAAAGCGTGAAGCATTGGCATACTTTCTAGGAACAATTTGCCCATATTTACAGTCAAGAGATCTTCGTCGCCTTGCTCCGTAGCAATCTCTATGAATGAATTGTGTGTGTTTTCTTATTATGTTATCCAAATTAGTACTGGAGAGCCCTAAGGCAAGTGTGTTACAGCGAAACATCGATGTCTACCAGTGAACATGACATTTTTACGTTTCATTTTTTCATTTTTCATTTAGTAAATCCTGTGAATGATATCTGATTTCATTTCATAATGTCTTCCTTTCAGTAAACAATATGAGGAATCGAAAAAGCAGGTCAATTTTATTGTCGAGGGGGATATATCCAAGGACTATTTGTAGCCCTCGTAGTTCAACTTCCTAGGAGGGATAGATGTAACCCTTAGAATTTCAAATGGAAATGTGGATCAAGTGGTACATCATTTTGATTGACTTTCAATTCTGTTTTCAATGGTACCTGACTTATTATTTTTTGATGAGCATTTTCTGATAGATAGCGTTTTGAACTAATAGAAGTAATTATTACTACGCCTATACTGAGGTGCATAGTTTAACCAGAACTGATCCCAACCCTCTATAAGGGGTAACATTAGCCATTAGCTTCAATAAATTTACATCAAAAAGTATTTTAATAATAAAATGTAGATGGTAGTGAAGTTGTGTTGAGTAAATGATGAATTTTTAATTCTCATCGCAGAAAGTATACAAATAGCCATCCTCTTTTGCTACTTGTGCTGTGAAAAGATTCTATTTTCAGGCAAAAAAATGGTTGGAAAATTTGAACGATATGGTAGTATTCCGCAAACAGTTGTACCTGTTGGGCTGTTAATGATTATATTATTAGGTGTTTAAAAGTTTAAAATGGTTTACATTCTTCAAGACAGAATTGAAATGATTATAATTTATGGAGAAGTTGGAAAGTGCGTTGTGTTAATAGACAAAACTGTCTCTTTTGACAAAAACCCACATATTTTTCTTAAAGGGCATACACAACACCCACAAAAAGTCAATATTTGGGCTGATAATCTTGATAAAGCCATTATTGGTCTATCATTCCTGGAAGAAAACTTGACTGACAATCTGTACCTTGAAATACTTGAAGAGACCATCTATCCTCACATAACTCAGGAGCTAGAAATTCAAATGGATGCAGAAGGTAATGAACTTATGCAGGAGGATCTGTTACATTTTCAGCAGGACGGTGCTTCACCGTCATTATTTTCTTTCAGTCCGACAGTGGTTAAACGAGAAATTTCCGCATAGGTGGATTGGCAGAAGAGGATCAGTTGAATGGCCTATGAGATTACCGGATTTAACACCCTTAGATTCATTCTTTTGAGGGCATCTTGAATCCGTTGTTTATAAAACACAACCTTCTGATATTGAAAAACTTAAAAGTCGAATTACAGCGGCATGCCAGTCAATTCCTAGTGAAATGTTCCGTAACGTTAGGGGAGAGTTCGAAAACAGAACAAAATGTTCAGAACAAAATGGATGACATGCTCACTATACCTAATGTGGTCTGAATTTGCCTACCAGAAGTAGCCGTCCTCAAAACGAAACAATATATTTACCAAAATACTCTCAAGCTCATAAACCACTGCAGTTCTAGGTTGTTTTTTCGGAAAATCCACAAACAAGTAAAAATCTTTACATGGAGGACATTCAAACCAGATCCATTAACACGTCTGAACTCAAACCTACGAGATGATTTGTTATATAACTTCATGAACTTGAACCTCAAATTCTTGCACTTCGACCTGAAAATCCAACAGTTCTTCTCTTCATATCCATTGTTTACCGATAACAAACCCAAACCAACCGGTACTTCAATGCTGAGCCCCATCATAATCCTTCTTAATTGAATTCCATTTTGAATTCTCTCTGACAAAGTGTTCAGACTCACCAAAACCACAGTATATCCAAAGAACTGAAAGAACCCAAAACCGCCCTCGTCAAAATGGCTATATCAATAGCCAGATCCCAAAGATCAGTCCAACTTTCGCAAACCCATATTTCACATCCCAAACAACCCGATATTCTGACTGATCATTCAGAAGCTTTCCTTTCCTATATGAAGTTACTAGAACTACTAGGTTTTCTATATCAGTCAACGAGTACAGTGTAAATGAAAGTATGAATTTGGTGTAGGAAAAAAAATATGCTCATCGTCTTCATTTTCGATAGTGAATTGTATGTAAGGGATTTTCACAACTACTAATTCCAGTAACTGTGAGAGACAGAATTATAACATCTACAATCTACATATTTTTGAATAAAATGAATGACACTTGAGAAAGTTTCTGACAGGGCGTCCATTATATAATCAACCAAAATGGAAATCGTTTTTGCACCCATAAGTATATCAAAATATATATGAGGTCATCTTCATGAATATTGCAAAACTCTTTAATACGGTATCGATTATTATGAATGACTCAAAGGCAAATATCAAGATGAATATTATTAAAAAGTGAGACCATATCCAGGCTAGTTTAGACATAATTGAGTGTCCCCCCCGTTTTTATTTTTTGAACGAGTCAACTCAAAAAATTGAAATTAGAAATGATGAAATTGATGCATGAATACTTTATTTTGAAGTGAAACTGACAGATGAAACTTTCAAGATGGCGACTGAGCGCCATATAGGAAAAAAAAGTTAAATGTGAAAGGTGGTCTTGTGACACATCTTTTTGAAGCTCCTGACGGATATTTCACAACCCTAGAATATTAAGTCAATATCTTCACTTACTACAAAATGGCGGAACTTTTAATAATTGCCTGAATACATTGACATTTAACTACATAATATGAGGTAATAAGCTTGAGGTCTGTTCAGAAGATGCTCGAAATGGTCCCTTGAACTTCTTGACATATGAACAGCCTATCCGATATTTCACGCCGAACATTTTCGAACACAGTAACGTCAATATCTCTACAAATATTTATTATTCTCTGGGGTATATCCAATATTGAAGCAGGTTCAATTTCGTACACTTTTTGTTTCGAATAGCCCCATAAAGAAGTTGAAAGTTGTCAAATCTGTCGAGCGGGCTAGCCTTTCTGTAGGACGTCGACGGCCAATCCAACGACCGGGAAAAGTGGTATCCAAATAGTTTCTTACTTGTCTGGAGTAATGTGGTGGTTGGAATACAATATCCATATCGAATTCATTTGGATTCGCTTCAACGATTTCATTGATGAGAGGGTCAACAGTAGTTTCCAGCATATTCAAATACAGTTCCCCTGTTATAGTTTGATCAATAAATAGAGGTACTCCAATATGGTTTTCCAATATTCCTGCCCAAACTTTTTCTAGATATTGGGTATGTGTTTTCCGGAAAACGTGATGTTCATTGTCGTACTGACAATTTTTGACGTTTTTATGAACAAAAAATAACTCAACAAACCTTATCGGGTTGTTAAAATTGCCATATGGCAGATAGAAAAGATTATTCTATCAATATCGATATCAATGTGTTTGTCTTCAGGAAATTATTGAATGTTTTTCCATTTTGTAGTAGGTGAAGATATTGACTTCATATTCTAGGGTTATGAAGTATTTGTCAGGAGTTTCAAAATGATGTGTCACAAGAACCCACATTCTATTTAACTTTTTTTCCCAGATGGCGCCCAGTCGCCATCTTGAAAGTTTCGTTTGTCAGTTTCACTTCAAAATAAAGTATTCGTGCATTAATTTTATTATTGCAAATTTCAATTTTTTGAGTTGACCCGTTCAAAAAATAAAAGGGGGAAGGGGACATTAAAGAAATGCACTGTATATATAAAAACCTGCAGACCACGGCTAATAAATCCGAAAACATCAAACAATCTGTTAGATACCGGCCCTGAAAGCTTACATACCATATGACGTAATTTTCAGGAAGTTGGATTTTCTTGAATTGTGAGAAAACATCGAAAGAATATCTCATTTGAAATGAAATTTCGAAGTCATGTGCTTTTCTATATTTCAATTTGAAATGCAATCAATGTTATTACTAATTATTCACAGGAATTATCTATTAACTATTTATTACCCTCGAAAAACAATAGATGATCACTATACTGATTATTATACTGGATTTTTTTTTATCGCGTGCTTAGTATTGAAGTCACAGGTGAAATGTTTGTTCATCAAATACTTACCTAGTGGTGAATTCTTTATCTAAATTCAAATCATCCAGTAGATTCGACGGAGGCGGATTACTTGGCAATGGTGGTGGAATCTCGATTTCTTCATAGATTGGATCATTATTGATTTTTATGCTTTCATAAAGATGGTCCTCGTTCTCCGAAACCTCTACCATTCCTGAATCAGCCAGTAGTTCATAAAATTTTGTCCGATTAGCTAACTCTTCCTCAGTAATTGAGCTACGATTACTATGATCAGTATAGCAATCGGAGCCTGGATCCATCAGCTCATACTGAGTGGAGGAACTGTGCTCAGAAGAAACGTCATCACAGATCGATTCATAGGCACGCATCCTCAAAAAGAAGTCTTCTGAGGATTTTGTTGTCATGCTTTTATTTTCGGCAGAAGGTGGCACAAATACTTCTGATGTTTTTTTTCCGCGTGGTCGCCTATACACATCTGACTTTCCACAGACGTGAGGGACTAAATTGCGTCGAACTGCCTCGACAGGGTCTCTGAGTAGTTCTCGTAGCATTTCGGAAGATGGTATGTGTTCTTCAGTGAAACTCTCTACAATAGCAACATTTTCTTCTCCAGGGCTCTCAATCACTGGGTTTTCTTTGGTAACAACAGAGCATTGTGTTCTGACTCTTTCTGAATCTTCATTGATATCGGATTCTTCAGATGAAATCTTCTGGTTCAACAAGAATGTGGAATTCTCCTGGTTTGATATAAATGCAGAATTATCCTGATTTGATATCAATGTACCTGATATATACACCGTGCTACTGGTTTTTATTTTTGGGGGAGAAACGTCCATGACATTGTCATTTACAACAACTGACGATTGGTACATAGGAATATTGTCATTGACATTTACGGTAGAGTAACAGTCATCTCCATTTATCAAGATGGATGTCTTTCTCTGAGGATTATCAAGAATAGAGAGATTATGCATGTTAGTATCAGTAAATTCATTTTTTATTTGTAGTTTGTGAACAGTCGGAGGGCTGTTGATTGTGACAATCGTTTTATTCATATTTTCTTTAGTGGATGGCTCGATCCTTACCGTATGAACAGTTGTATGAGAGAAATTATTAATGGAAGGTATTTTGTTGATACTACGTTTCCTAGGCGGAGCGAAAGGTGGGGAGATATTAGAGAGTACTTCGGTGGAATCATTCATACACTGTTCTGATTTTTCCAGCGATATTTGCTCTGTAGACTTTTTGGGACATTCACTTTCTAGATGATTCACCTTCGAAGGACTTATTTCATCAGAAATGGGTGTTTCAGTATCAGTTTGTGAAAAACTTGATACTTTTTCTGTATGATCAACATCAGTAACTTCTTTGATTGAATTCGACTCATTTTTCATAGAATTTATTTTCGGTGTTGTAGAAGGTGAATTAGGTGGTGTCGGACTAACGTTTTTGGATTTTTTCTTCAATCCATCAAGACGCTCCAAATCAGAAAAGTTAACAGCAAACGTTTTCCTATGTCTCAGTTTACGCAGAGCCATTGTGTCATTGAAGGTGATTTTTATCTCTTCTTTTTTTATCCTATCACTATGACTGCGATGTAACGAAGATATTTTCTTGACTTGTCTTTGTGCTGATAGGTTGTTGACTTCTTAAGAATGGATTTGAACCGACGATTTAGATGACATTCATTCTCAATAATTGATGGTGATGGTGATTCGCTCTTCGAACTGAATGTTTTGTTCTGATCGACCTGAAAAGTTTTGGGTTTTTTCAATTGGGTCCTGGTGTTGTGAAATGAGCGACATTAGTCATTCAGTCAAGTAACTCATATTCTTTGCCATTTGACACAACGCGTTATTACAAGTAGGTACTATATTTTCATGTTCAACACTTTCATGGTTTTAACGATAAACAAATATCTATTGTTTTAGGCTTTGGAATATATTGAGTCAGTTATGTAGATAGTGGGGTGTCGAAATTATTTTAACTACTCATTTCTCATCCTCAGTTCATACATGATCTGATAAACCTGAGTTAAGTGGATCAATGAACTCAGAAATAGCCTAATATTGTTATGAGAGTAGTCACACAAATTAACATGAAAGGTGATAACTCAGATCAGTTCGGCAATATAGTACGCGTATCCAATGAATGATGGATTACAGGACAGACATTTTAAAGACGAGCAATTCTGCTTTGATAGGATATCAATGATAGTTTTTTACTGAAAGGTGAATAGTGAAGCGAGCGAGAGGATCTCAATGTCAAGTAGAAACTGTTGAGGCAGCAGAATTGAAATAGAGGAAACGGTAAGTGTGTACTTGAAACTATAAAATTCTAGCAAAAAATCTAAAGGGGCATATACACATCATCAGTTGAAATAATTACAATAATAAACAAAAAAAAAAGAGTTAATTGGATGTTTTCAAACATGTGCAATAATAAACAGGAATATGAAGTTTATTTCAATTGTTTGAACATATTTTTATAAGACGAAACTGCAGAAACGTTAGTTACAAATAAAAGTGGTACGAAACATAGATAGTTTTATTTCCCCCTTTTCGAACAGTAAATTCAATTTTCTCAAATGAGTCGTAATTTTATTACTGATTAACACTCCCTCTAATATAAAATTAATGAAGAACGTGGAGATTGTACGACGGAAAAAACTCCACTGAAAATATTGAAGGGTTATGATATCGATACGTTCAGGATACTTGTCGAATGGTAAACATTCTGAACATTTATTGGCATGGACTGGAAAGAGTTCTGAATATTTTTGTTTAAACATTATTATATATGTCGTTTTGTTTCAAAAATAATGTAAACTGGTTAGTTACTCTAGAACGGACAATTCGATATCCAAAAATGAACAATAGGATGTAGAATTGAAAGACTTTTAAAATTTAGATATCACAATATCCAATAATTGAAAGAAAAATTGAAATTCAGTATTTTATATCAGAATGATTATACTCACAATTATTTCTTTTCGTTTTTCCTTAGTAGTTGGAACTGAAGTCGCATGCTTAGCAACAGACTTCGTGACGAACTTCAAAGTTTTCGAAGTTGGTTTCGTAGGTGTCGATAACCGAAGTTGGACGTCTTCGTATTTGTTTTCATCCTCGCGATCTTCGTCGCTCAGTGAGGGTCGAACTCTTATTCTTTGGCCATTAACCAGTGTTATGCTGGACTCCTTTGTGCTGTTTGAATCGGATGTAACGAGTTCATAAGGGTTAATATCACATTCAAGAATGGATCGACGGCCTATGGTAGAGAAGGAATTTGTCTTGTCACCTAACAAAAAAATTAAAAAAAAAATATATAAATCATGAACTACTTTTGTTTCATTCATCTCTAATAACTCCACCCCAAGACACTCATGAGTATTTCTATTCTATAAGAGAAGAACAATTCTACTGTTCTATCTTCGACTTTGATTCAGAACCAGAGTACATAACATAATAGTACAGAGATGTTTTTTTATTTATGCTTTCATCATGAATTGATGATACAAAAGTGTATTCAATTGAGAATCGAGAGGTGAATTGTTTATTGCCATGAAATATATTCTTTACATTATACAAGGTGACTAAAATATCAAATATTCATTATTTCTGTTAGTTAACCTGTTTCTATAAAATCTAGACCCCTCATAGTGTAGTATTCTTTCCGTTCGTTTTCTGTGTCCTTCTTTTATTATCAATGAGTCTTTTTGGTCAAAATATTGCATTGGCCCCAACTATAGGTTTCCTGGTTTATTCTCCCATTATATCAACTTTAGGCTTCAAAACAGATTGAGTTGTCTCTTGAAAACTATCTAGCTGATGGTGACCCAGTTCATCACTTTTAGGAATATTTATTCAATACAGTAATGCTTCGTAAGGGTTTAATCTATCTTTTACAAGTTTTTATTGATTATGCTATACATTGTGTGTTGCAAAATTTTTCATAAAATGGATGACTTCATTGTCATCTGAAATCGGCATTCATCATTTTCAGTAAATAACAGTTGTTTTAACGTTAATTTTTCACATGATAAAAATTTCAATATTATTCACTTCAAAAAATGAAATTTTGTTCTCGGATTTTGACGTCACATATGGAATACTAAACTTGTATTTTTCAACATTAATTTATTGACAATTTCAATGTTTTCTCGAAAAATTCGAATTTTTCCAGAAGTTGGATGAGCTTTCGCTTCATATAAGTTGCTGTATTTTTAGAATTTTTTTCTTTTACCCAATTACCTTTTGACCATATTCCACTACTGCTTCTTTTCTCTACATTCCTGTTTGGGGATACAGATCTCGCTCTAAACTGATTGGAAGTATCCGTTACTGACAAGCGCGATCGACGCACGAGATCATAGGGATCAGCTGAAGAGGGCAGGATAGATGGCCGAGATGACGAAGTAACCCTGACAGTTCCTGCTCTTAAAGGAGTGGAAGGCGTGTTTTGAATGCTGGTGGGATAGCACCGGACGGTGCCAAATTTTGTGTGTTCCACCTGAAAGTTTTAAAAATAACTAAAATATAAATGAGTTTGAAATTTAAGAAATATATGAAAATATCATGTATGACGCATGAATGCAAATCTTAACGAACTCAGAAATCAATTAGTGATACTATATGACATCCAATTAGATTTGGAGTATGTGTCAAAGTAGCTATTTGTTGAATACTATTTGGAAAAAAATGTTTAAATTCATCAAAGTTATTAAATGACGAGTAATTCTTGAACTAATTACCATAGTAATTAGTTCAAGAATAATGATGATGAAGATAAGTAATCACTAGCTTTGAATTGAATTGGAAGATTTTTTGAAAGAGAATGATTTTTGGAAAAAAAATTGAAATTTCTTGACTTTAGTACTGTGACTAATTGTAATTATTGTATTGTATAATTGCATTTTCATTTAGTATATAGTGTAAAAACCCTGTGAATGATATCTGATTTAATTTCATAACCAATGTTTGGAATACAAACTGAGTAGAAAAAATTGTTTCCTGTATAATTCAGTGTTAAGTATTTGTTTCGAAATAATTTTCCTTTCATGTAATTCAATGTTTATATGAAATTTGCTGTTTTAGAAAGGCTTTTTCTTTCAGATTTGTGCCTGAAAGTTACTTCTTTGCATGATCTATACATCTATGTATACAGTTACTTCTTTTTTTTTAAATTGATTACTTCCTTCCTTTCTTTGGAAGATTCCCAATATGGAGTAGTGGAAAACCAAAAACTTCATTTCCCAAAAATAACAAGTTCTGAAACGAAGCATTTTAGTATAGTAGTTCAGTCAATGACCATTACAGGTATAATTTTGCCAAACAATATCAATAATTTACTCAACCTTTCTTGAAATTTGACCCAGTACTGGGGATTGCTTTGACCCTAGGGGTGGATTCCACCCCTTTTTGGTGAAATAGTGAATGTATTGTGACTGTATACCCTGTAGATAAATGGAGTAATATCTTGTTGAAGGTCAGTTCTCACTCGTCAACCGCCCGAAATAAAAGTTTCAGTAACCCAAATGAACGCCTTTACAGAGAAAACTTCACTCTTGAAAATAGCCGTAGAATAAAAAGTAAATGAAATATAGAGAAAACAATGTCAATCCTTATTTTTTTCAGTGACATAAAATGTGAAAATCACTTTCTAATCACCACCTCAATTGGAAATAATCAATAACATTCCACAATTCACTTCGTTGACGTACTTGTAACAGTGTGACAGTTTTTGAGTTTATCTAAAGGAAATGCAATTTTCTACAGAATTGAAAGAATGCTTTTTTTCATAAACTACACATCTTCATCAAGTAACGGCCGAATCAATCAGAAAATTTAAAAAATGCTTTTTTCACTTCAAGTTCAACTTTTTTCACAACTCAGCACTTCAAACTGTTCAAACTTCTGGGATATATAACAAGTACATGAATAAAGTAAATTATGAAGTGGTAACAGTTATTTTGACTGGATTGATAAGTAGGAGATGATTTTACCATATTTTCTAGCTGAAAAAGAATAGATGTTACGACATTTTCAAGCACTTCAAAAAAGACCATAAAGTTTATCACGAGAAATGCATTGGTTTTTGTTACTTCACGTTGGAACTTTCAATTTTTGCCGTTTGACGATGAAAAAACGACCATCAACAATCCATTATAGGCTACATTTCAATAAAAATGAGTTTTTCGATCACATATTAACTTCTTGGGTATAGTGGTTGAAAAATGTACGCATTCACATGCGAATAAGTCGAAAACTATCGAGGTTATTAATAAAAGGTGCTTAAAATTCACTTCTTCGATTGACGACTTGTTTATTTTGTGGAAATTCATGTTCACTGAGGATACACTACAAAAACACACTTTTGTCTATTTTCCACTAGATTTCTTTATTGTTGACCGGTTTCGGCTATTACACCATTTTCAAAACTAACTGATTACATTTAAATATGAGTAATTTATACCTATGTTGCTTATTCTATCATAAATGATTTGATATACCTGATATACCCGATACCCGGTACCTGCGTTTCATACACCTGTAAAATCCATGAACATGACAAATATAATATAATACAATATAATGTAGGTTTTGGGATCTGGATTATAGGTTCAGGAGAGGACTATTATTTAAATCAAGTTGTTCGTTGAGGACAATAGAATTGGGATTTTTCTTTGACCTGTTTATTTCCATAGATTCCAACAGATTCATCATTTTCCCTTTTTCGCATGAGTGTAGGATCTTTAAATTATCTTCATATATTTTATGTTTCGAATGTACGAACATCTTCAGATTTAAATGTAATCAGTTAGTTTTAAAAATGGTGTAATAGCCGAAACCGGTCAACAATAAAGAAATATAGTGGAAAATAGACAAAAGTGTGTTTTTGTAGTGTATCCTCAGTGTGCTTAAAATTAGCCAATCTATCCATTCCTGGACTTATTTTTCATGAAACAATTTTTAACCTTGGTATTTTAACTGTGGTATTCTGGGACTGAAAGTAACATGGCACTTCGAGACCTTCAGATGAATTCGTTTGAAACGAGCACCCATATTAGTCTATTGCTCCTTTTTTCAACTACAATACCTTATGAAGCGTTTCTGGATTCAAAAATTTCCAAGAGATCTTTCATAAGCTTACTGATGACTGTTGTGAAATTTTTAAAGCATGCAATCTGAAATTTCTATGAACGCAACAGTCGTAACAAAAAACTATTGATTATTATTGTTAATTTTTTTGAAATGTGTTTCCAAATTTGTCATATTTCTCACTCGCATGTGTTTTTCAACATCCATGTATTTTTTCATTAGTTTTTTCTATGCATTTCTGTGTAAAAAAGGTTTCTGTTTTCACCTAAATGGTGTGCTTTTGAGGATATGAGCGCTGGGAGTTTCGCCTTCTGTAGGTTCAGAGTTCATGGAAAAGTACTGAAATATTTTGCAATTAAGTGAAACGTTCAATAACATCCCTTCATAGTGGAACATTCCATTACAGTTTCTGATGCTTTAGAATGTTCTGGCATATTGTGGATCATTCAAAACTATTTTTGTATGAGTTAGGTTAAGTTATATAATGCAATTCTGATATGAGTAATTTGCATTGGTTCTGTTTCACCTTTCTTCATTACGAATGTTGCATTGTTTTGTCAGGCCGCTTGAATTTTTTCCCACGCGCTAGTTGAATGTTGAATTGTATAGTGTTGAGGGTAATGATAATGTGCATGAAATGCTAAAGGCAACAAACGTATCTATTACGTAACCATATATATATATAAATTTTAAAAAGATTAGCCTATTTGTTTAGGTAGTCTACCAACAGCTTCAATTGTTTGTCACGGATAACTAGAATAACAGAACTTGGTGCAGAAGTATACCGAATACGTATTATTTGTAATTAGGTATGATCGTTTCTTGCAATCAATCAGAAAAATACAAAATACAGAAAATAAAGTGAAAGTATGTGGCATCAAATTATTCATAAGAGAATGATCTTTCACAAAAAGCCGACGAGTCACCCCTTTCCATTTAAAAAATTAAGTTAACTGGAAAAATTCATATTTGCGACTGTGAAATAATTCTTCAAACAACTATGTATGAAGCCATAAGCTTCAAAGTCGTAGTTTTCCCATGATACTTGGTCAACAATGAAGCGGTTTACACAATCCATGGCATTCTATATTCAAAAATAAAAATTGAAATAAAAATGATTTTATTTGTCAAATATTGACAAGTGGAGTATTGTTAAATTCAGAATATCATTCTCCATCGTAATAAATAAAAATATATGGGATGTCCAATTTAAAAATCAAACGTTGAGGTCATTTCCGGTCAAACCGGAAAAACGACAAATCAAGTAAGTATATGCCAAAAAATGTCAATTGAACTGTAATATACAACCCCGAAATTCCGTTTTTCTATCTCTAATAATAGGGGGTGACCCGGTATACTATTCTGACAGTTTGAAAAACTTCATATAATTTTTTTGTAATAGTTTGTCGTCACAGATCCTACCACATATTTGAGAATGACTTCAAAAAAACTTGCTTCATTGATGACTTTTTAGATACTAATCAGACCCGTATCTATCGTATTGTACTTTCAGGTATTGAAATGGATCATGGACAGTTTTTCTGGAATCGCACATAATTCAATTTGGTAGGGTAAACGTTTTACTGCTGTAACAGACTATTTTTGTGATGAATTTCTAATGAAATTACAATTTTCGTTTATATTTGCTGAGTTTTGTATATATACATAAGGTATTAGGAGAATTATTCACCTCATTCCTTATTTTATGAATATTTGCTTTGGTTGTTTACAAAAAAAGCTGCTCTCATTCTGATATTTGGCTGAAAATACTGATGTGTCTCGCTGCTGCTTATTTTATGAAATATGTAAAAAATCAGCACTCAAAATTACCATCAGTACCCCGTATCTATAAATTAGCCGTTAGCACAATTTAGAAGGAATGCATACTGGTACTATCCTATAATACAATTCTNTTCTTCCGAGATCGCTTGGTTCCGTTAACATAATCCGGACAGGCGCAGAGCACAAATGCAGGAGTGAGGAGCAGAGCTCCAGGTGCTCGAACGCTGCCATACAGCCATGGGTCAGCGTACCGCATCGAACGAGAAAGGGCGCTCTCACCGTCTTTTCGGGAACGTTCACCCTAAAATAAATAATTTAATATTTGAGATACCATATTATTTTTCTGAATATAACAAAGTAATACAATCTATTACCGTCATCGACAAAATTTGATATTAAAAATTATCAACTATGGATTCATATGGGAAATATTCGAACAAATCTCTTTTCTAATAACATCAGTTATCCCACTCTGTTAGATTGAGAATATCCACTTCCACTGATAAATAAATCATTACTCTTATTATTATATATTGTTCACAGTATTGTCCATATTTAGATTTGATATAAAATGGCGTATTTATCGTCCAAAATTGAAGTATCTTTATCAAAAGTATTGCGATATTACAT